AAATAGAAAGTTACCAAAGTAAGAAGAGCTGCAGAGATAGCGGATGAATACGCATTAGTGCATAAATTCAAATCTAGCTTCCAATAGCAATTTCATTCCGTGAGGGATAGAAATTGGGGTAAAAGGGAGATCCTTGAATGAAAAAGAAAAAGTAGATCACACTGGGACCGGTTTACCATCGGTGAACATAGAAACTCGAGGGTAAAAAAGAGGCAAAAGGCCTTGGGTATTTCCACTGTAATAGAGGGGGACACACGAAGTTACAATGCCGGTGGATTAAGGAAGGCAGTGGGGAAAGGCGTGTGGTAAAAGAGGCTAAACTAGTGGGATTAGTTGAGATCGTGAAGGAAATCCCAAGAGAAGTCGAACTGCAGGAGAGTGCACAGTCTAGTCACACGCTCAATACTAAGAGAGTGCCCGATCTCTTCAAAGACTTCACCTGTGTGGGTAAGGTTTACTCAGGAAGAATGGGGGGAGAAGATAAAGAAGTTAAAATATTGAGAGATCTGGGATCTGGTCAGTTTCTAATAGTAAGAGATGAAAATATATGCACTCATTCTGAAATATTACCCAAGAGAGTGATAATCTATTGAATAAATGGAGAGATTTTGCATTCCACTCTGTGTAAGATAAGGCTGGAAAGCCAATCGAGACTGAGGAAGTGGCAGTAGGAGTGATTGAACAAGTGTCTACTCCAGGAATTCCAGATTCTCAAACAACCTAGCTGGATCAAAAGTGGGAGTGAGTCCCCTTGTAGTGGAGAAGCCGAAAGAAAACCAGGGAACTGAAGAGTTAAAAGGGAACTACATAATAGAACGTAGAACAGTACAGCACAGTACAGGCCCTTCGGCCCACGATGTTGTGCTGAACTTTTACCCTAAAAAGCTGAGTGGTGACAAGATCCCACTGTCATAGGTCAAAGCAAGAAGGGAACACCGAAAAGGAAGACAAAGGAGTTGAGATTCAATTAGCTGACACTCTGTTTGATGAAATGGTAAAAGAAAAGCCTAAACAGGTAGAGGATCAGACCGAGGTGTTTAGTTCTGAAAGACTAATAGAGTTACAAGAAAAAGATGAGTCAATGAAGGATCTGTATCATTCAGCCTGGAATCAGAATGTTATTACCTTTATAGAATCCTAAGGTGGAAATGGAGACCTCAGCATGTTAGTGCAGAGGAGAAATGGATGGAAGTTCACCAGATTGTGTTGCCGGTGGCATACAGACAGTAAGTATTGCAGGTAGCCCCTGTAGGAGGTCATCTTTGAGTGAGGAAGACTCAAGCTAAGATACAAAGTCATATCTATTGGCCCGGATTACAGAAAGATGTGGTTGAAATTAGTGGCACCTGTCGTACGTGTCAGATGGTAGGAAAGCCACAGGCAGTAATAAAACCAGCGCATCAACGTCAATTCCCACATTTGTAGAACCTTTCACGCGGGTTATGATTGTGTAGGTCGCATCCCTAAAACCAAAAGTGGGAACCAGTATTTGCTATCCATAATGGATTTGTCTATCAGATTTCCGGAGGCAATTCCTATACAGAATGTCAAGGCAAAAACGGTTGTCAAGGAGTTGCTTGCTTTCTTTATCCATTATGGGCTACCCATGGGGATTCTGTTAGACCAAGGGTCCATTTTTACCGCCAAATTATTTAAGGAGGTCATGGATAGTTTAGGCATCCAACACTTCAAATCAAGTGCATACCATCTTCAATCCCAGGGAGCATTGGAAAGGTGGCAGCAGACCTGAAAGACCATGCTGAGGGTTTGTTGCCAGGATTACCCAAATGATTGGGATAAAGGTATCCCATTTTATGTTATTTGCTATTAGAGATGGTCCAAATGAATTAACTCAGTTTACTCCAATTGAATTACTATTCAGACAAGAAGTAATAGGGCCTTACAATTAATTAAGGAAAAATTGATAGGTCCAAAGGCAGAGATCTCTGTTATATTATGTATCTGAGGTGAGAGAAAGATTAAACTCAGGTGAATTAGCTAGGCAATATTTGAAGGTGGCACAACATCTAATGAAGCAAGAAGCAGATAAGAAATTAAAAATTGTATGTTTGCCCTTGGGGATAAAGCATTGATGGTGTTACCAGTGGTAGGAGATCCCTTAAAAGCAAGGTTTAGTGGTCCCTACCAGATTGAGAAGTCAGGTCAAGTGAATTGTCTGGTAAAGATGCCAGATAGGAAAAAACGTTTTTGGGTATTTCATGTGAATGTGTTGAAACCTTAATATGACAGGGAAAGGGAACTGGAGAAACAGGTATTAGTTATTGCCGCTTAGAGTGAGGAATCAAATTCAGAAGATTCAGATTTTGATGTGTCTGATAGTAAATTGAATAATGAGGAAGTCCTGAATGAATGGGATAGGATAGTGAGCTGTCTGTCTCAGAAACAGAGAACTGTTGCAGCACTATGAGGACACATGTAGAACTATAATGGGGAGGACTAATACTGTAGTCCATGAGGTTGACACAAGGAATGCTGTTCTGATAAAACAATACCCCTGCAGGCTTAATCCTCTCAAAGCAGCACCGTTTCAGATGGAAGTGGAAGTGATGCTCCAAGAAGACATCATTGAGTCAAAATGAGTGGAGTTTGCTGATTTGGTTCCCAAACCTGATAGCACTGAATGCTTCTGCGTAGATTATCGGAAGGTCATTACTGTGACAAAATCAGACTCGTACCCAATTCCGAAAGTTGGACCTACTTTGTGGTTACTGGCAAGTACCTAAAGAGGTTTTTGCGTTTGTAACCCCAAATGGGTATATCAATTTATGGTATTCTCATTGGAATGAAGAATGCACCAGCTACTTTCCAAAGACGTATCAACAGAGTTGTGGCATGATTGCCTAATTGTGCTGTCTGTTCATGGAAAGATTGTATGATGCATTTGGCAGAGCTCTTTGAAAAACTATGGAAGGCAAAACTGTGTGTTTCAGTTTTAAATATCAGAGGGGTTCACCATATCCTCCGTAACAGTATGACCAATGATTTCTGTCACTGAATAATAGGTTAGTGTAATCCTAAGAAATACCTTATGAAAATACCTTGAATCCATCATGAATATTTGCATGGAAAGTTAGATTACTTTTGTTTCTTTGCAGGTTAAACAGTGCTTTACGTCATGAGCAGATGTTTGCTGATCGTTTCCTTCCAGATGCAGAAGCAGCTGAAGCTTTGGGACGGACTTGTTGGGAGGCTTTGATCAATCCCATTGTATTCAGTATCACAGCTTTGGGTATGTATCGTAAACTTAGATTGTGCACCAGAGCTGTATAGCACATGAACCTATAAGCAATGTCGTTTTTTAATTTTCTTTTGTAATTCTCATGCGCAGTATGTTTCCTGGTAATGAATGTTGATGATAATCATCAACTAAATGTGAAATGAGAATAACATATCTGGTTATGAAGAAGTAAAGTTATTAGCCACAATAGGGCGCCTCCATTGACTTAAAAGGGTATTTTTTTCAGTTGGTAAAGACTCAGTCAGTGAAATGGTGTGTTTCTATGCTGTAGGAATCTAACATTGTTTTATCATTTGTGTTAAAAGAACACAAAAATTGAGGTAATGGAAGAAATGTGCTTTTCACAATTGAAGTGTTGTGCCATTGAATATTATCTATCCCACAACTGATAAAGGCAAGTTTACTATATGCCACCTTAGCCAACCTATTAACTTGTCCTGGTGCTTTTGGGGATTTGTGGGTAAGCATCCCAAGATGCCACTGAACTTCCTAGTCATAGAGGTCTACAGCACAGGAAAAGGCCTTTTAGCCCATCAAGTCTGGGCAACTCAAAAACAAGCGTATAACTGTTCTAATCCCATTTTCAGGCACTTTGGCCCATAGCCATATATGCCTTGACATTGCAAGTGCACGTCTAAATACTGCTTGACTGTTCTGATGGTTTCTGCTTCTACCACCCTCACAGGCAGTGTGTTCAAGATTCCCACCACCCTCTGTGTAAAAAATGTTCCTCAAATTCTCTCTAACCCCGCCCCCCCCGACTCTTAGTTTAAATCCATGCTCTTAGTTGTTTATCCCTTGATGAAAGGAATAGGTTTCCGCCTATCCTATCTGTGCTGCTTCTAATTCCGTACATCTCAATCATGTCCCCTCTGAATCACCTCTGCTCTAAGGTAAACAACCGCAACCTGTTCAATCTCTCTTCATAACTAATACTCACCAGCCCAGGCAATATGCTGGTAAATTCTGAAAGAACTGAGAATGCTGCAAATCAGAGACAAAATAGAAATTGCTGGAAAAACTCAGCAGGTCTGGCAGCATCCGTGGAGAGAAATCAGAGTTAACGTTTCAGATCGAGTGACCTGAAACATTAACTCTGATTTTTCTCCACATGTGCTGCCAGACCTGCTGCACTTTTCCGTTAATTTCTATTTCTGATTCTGGGTAACTCCCTCTGCACCCTGTCCAATGCTATTACATCCCTGCTATAATCACTTTTTAGCAATGGCTGAACCAAGTTTTATATAGTTCTGGCATTACCTTCCTGCTCTGAAAACTCTGCTTTGGCTAATAGAGGCAAGTATCCCATATTCCTCCTTAAGCACTTTATCAGATTACCTTAAGGGACCAGTGGACTTGCACATCAAAATCCCTCTGGTCCTCTTTGCTTCCCAGGGCCCTACCATTTATCATGTTTTGCCTTGTTTAGAGTCACAGAAACAGACCCTTCAGTTCCACCAGTCCATGATGACCATAATCCCAAACCAAACTAGTCCCACCTGCCACAAAAACAGAAGTTGCTGGAAAAGCTCAGCAGGTCTGGCTGCATCTGTGAAGAAAAAATCAGTTAACGTTTCGGGTCCAGTGACCCTTCACAGATGCTGCCAGACCTGAGCTTTTCCAGCAACTTCTGTTTTTTTTCCTGATTTATAGCATCTGCAGTTCTTTTGGCTTTTTTAGTCCCACTTGCCTGTGCTTGGCCCATATCCCTCCAAACATTTCTTCTTCATGTACATGTTAAAATGTCTTTAAACATTGGAAATGGTGGATGCAGGTACAGTTACAATGGAAGTTCATTCCACACGGGAACCACTGTTTTTAAAAAAAGAAATGCCCCTCGTCGTTTTTTTTCTCTCCTCTCACCTTAAAAAAAAATGCCCTGCAGTCTTGAAATCCCCCACCCATGGAAAAAGGCACCTGCCATTCACCTTATTCATACCCCTCATGAATTGACAAAACTCTAAAAGGTCATCTTTCAACCTTCTACACTCCAGTGAATAAAGTCCCAGGTATCCAGCCCCACATAATTCGAACCCTCCATTCCCAGCAACATCCTGCCAAATCTCTTCTGAACTCTCTCCAATTTAATAATATCCTTCCTGTAACAGGGCAACCAGAACTGTCCGCAGTAGTCCAGAAGAGGCTCACCAATGTCCTGTACAACCTCGACACGGCATCCCAACTCCTATACTCAAAGGTCTGAGCAATGAAGGCAAGTGTGCCAAATGCCTTCATAATCACCCTACCTATATGTGATGCAAACTTCAAAGAATTATGTACCTGACCCCCGAGGTGTCTCTGTTCTATAATACTACCAAGGGCCCACTTTTAATTGTATAAGTCTTACCTTTGTTTTACAAAAATGTAATACCTCGCATTTATCCAAATTAAACTCCATCTGCCCATTTAGCCCATGCACTCTTAGCACTCTTTAGCCCGTTGACCCAATTGATCAATATCTCTTTGTAATCTTGGATAACCTCCTTCACTGAGATAGCAAGAACTGCAGATGCTGGAGTCAGAGATAACAAAGGGTTTGCAGTAGGTTTATAAATCACTGAGATAACCTTCTTCACTGTTTGTTTGTCCTGCCTGAGTGCATCACCTCCCACTTATCCAGATTGACTTCCAGGTTAGTGAGGATTCTCCCCCCCTTTGCCATCATGTTCATTGAATGCACTTTGTGACAACGTGGTTTTCTGAATGGCAAAGATTTAGCAGATCAATTACCTCTAAATTGTTGTCTTTTATGTTTGTTTTGATATGGTGTCAATTTGTCTTGCTTTAGACAATACTAATCCAAGCCCATTGTCTTGGCTGCTGAATGAATATCTGGAGAATTCAGAAGTTTTGAAGCGGGGCAAAGGCCGAACAACCATCTTTAATTCCAGGGTTCGGCGCCTTTGCCACCTTCTGGTTCATGTAGATACCAGTCGGATCGAAATAGAAGACATAAAGCCAGCCACTAAACCTGGTAAGGGTACTGGTCATAAATAAAACCCACTGTATATTATGAGGTTCAGTGATTTATTACAAACTGGAATATGGTTTAAGAAAGGAAGAGAGCAAACTTCCGCTGATGTTGCCCTTTCTCACTTCTCTTGTGACCCTAGGTGCTTCATGTAAATAAATTATTTTGAAATGCTCTCACTGTGAGCATGCCTTGCTATGCTACTCATCCAAGTACCAGCACTGCCCGCACGCTGAAGTACCTCAGTTTATCCATTGTCATTAAGATCAAGCGTGGAATGGCTTTTATGCCAAAAATACTGCTATCACAATTATCTTGTGGAGCAGAATTTGAGTATTTACGCATCTCACTCTTAACAAATTTACCTTGTGAGATATGTCGCATTTACATTTTAGACCAGAAAATTAAGCTTTCTAGCTCGGAGTACTTTGGAGGAAACCGTATTACTAAGTTGATTAAAGATCATCAACGTGATAGGGGTTTTCAACAGTTTTATGAAGTGGCACGTACTATGGAGTTGCCTGCACCTTACTAAGTTTGGGTTCTGACATGGCCAGTTTGAGTAGGTTTGGCTTGTACTCATTGGAGTTTAGAAGAATGAGAGGAGCCCTTCCTGAAACAAACAAGATCCTTATTTGGACTAAAGTGGTTGTTTCCCCTTCTGGGAGAGATTGGAACAGGGACATAATCTCGGAATAAGGAGTCACCCGTTTAAGGTAGATGAGGGGGAGCAGAGTTGATCAACTGAAAGGCCTACTGCTTCTACATCTTATGATCTTAATATTTACCCCTTGTTAAAATCTCAAATGAGTGATCTGGTTGCTATCACATTGTGGCAGGTTGCTGTGAGCAAATTAGCTACCATGTTTCATTCACACAACAATGATTACTCTGGAATAGTACTTCATTGGCTAGAAAGTGCTTTGAAATATCCAGTATTCACTTTTCGTAACATTTTTGTAATTTCTGTGATTTCTTTTCAGTTATTAGTAATTGTTGCAACAGTTAGTTAACTAACTTGCCAGCTCATTATCACTGCTTCTTGAGTTAATTCATTCTTATAAATGCTGTTCTATTCCTAAAGTTGCATTTTTTGAATTTTGGGTGAGACAAAAACTTTTTATTTTATTTGTTAAAAACTTTTCTACACTGTGACTGTTTAAAATTGATAAGGAATAGGCATTAGATAGACTTTCAATAATCAGAATTGACAAGGTACAGGGACCAAATAAAATGCATCTTGAAGGAAATGAAAGTTGAAATTGCAGAGGCACTGATCATAATTTTTCAGTGTTCCTTGGACCCAGAGGACTTGGGAATTACAGATGTGATGTACTTGTTCAGAAAACCAAGCAAGAGTAAGACCAGCAATTACAGATCAGTTAGTTTAACTTTGATGGGTAAGCTTCTAGAAACAGTAATTCAGGATAGAATTAAAAGTTACATGGACAATGTGTGTCAATTAAGGAAAGTCAACATGCTTTCTTAACGGAAAACAGTGTTCAACTAGCTTGCTGGAGTTTTTTTTGAAGAGATAACACTCGGGTGATGCTGTTAATGTACTTGAGGGCCTAAAAAAGTGTTTGTTACTGATGTGAGTAAAGTTAGAGCTCGTGGAATAAAAGGGAAAGAAGCAACTTCAATAAGAAAATTGATTGATAGAAACAATCGATGGCTAATGGATATTTTTCTGGCTGGAGCAAGGTTCTGAATGGAGTTCATCAGGGTCAATATTGGTATGCTTGCTTTTTCTGATATACATTTAATGATCAAAATCTTTGTGTACAGGGGTCTGTTTCAAAAATTGCAGATGATACAGAATTCATGAACAGTGAGGACAGTATAGGATCACAAAAGGACATTGGCGAGTTGGTGCAATAGGTCGATAGATTGCAGGTGAAATTCAACAAGGAAAACGGTGAGGTGGTATGTTTTTCGAACATGGAGAGACAGTATAATATAAAGGGTACCACTCTGCACGTTGTGTGGTTACAACTGAATGTAGAAGTTCATTCAGAATGGCAGTGCAAGGAGAGGGAGCAGTTCAAGTGTATAGCAGGAGCGTAAAATGCAGGAGCAAAGAGGTGATGCTGAACGTGTAGATGACACCAGTTGTTTCAGCTGGAGTATTGAGAGCTGTTTTGGGCTCCCTACTGTGGAAAAGAAGTTATATGTATGTAATGCATAAGAATGTGAGAGGTTCCAGGATGTTTCCCTTTGAAAAGAGAAGGCTAAGAGTTTTAATAGAACTTTTCAAAATAAACAGTCGATACAAAGTATATGTGGAGAAGTTGTATCCATTCTTAAATGGATCGAAAATGAGAGAGCACAGATTTAAAGTAAATTGAAAAAGAAGCAAATGTGATGTGAAATTTTGTTTACGAAGCAAGATAGGCCCTGGAATGATTGGTTGCAAGTGTGGTGCAGGTAGCTTTAATCAAGGGATTCAAGAGACCATTGGTTGATCTTTTGATTAGAAACAATATTTTGTGTTACAGGGAATAACACTAAGATGCACATTTGGAGAGTTAGTGCAGACCTGATGGGCCAAATTGTTACCTCTTCACCATAACTATCTTGTAATTCTGTCCCTGTGCCATTTGCTAGTCTACAGATATTCTGATTTTGACCTGTGGTGAGTTACTGGTTGCCACACATGAAAGTGCAGAAACTCTGGTTGTGATTAAAAGGGCTATGCAGAAAGGGATTTAATATTACTCTCAAGGTGGAGGTGGTCTTTGCCTTGAAGCTGTTAAGTGAATCTGTTTGAAAGTGGGATTTGAAAATAAGGAATGGAAGTCAGCTGGATTCAGACAGTCATTCATACATACAAGTTGTATTTGCTTTGCAGATGGTAAAAACAAATCGAAAGACAGCAGCAGCAACAGCAGCTCTGGATCTGTGAAAGGGCAGATGGTGAGCAAGCCCAGCAGCATCTCCGGAATAGCGCAGTGTTGGCATGAAGTCGTACAGCAACAGGCAAGTGTAGGGATAAGGAATTTCCCTGGTTTGGTGGAATTCTGACGTTTAGATCATGGAATTCCACATTTTAATGTGCTGCTTTTTGTCCTCTGCCTGGTCTGGGGTGCTATTACCTAGACTCTTCTCCCTTTAATCCACTGCCAATTCTAACTTGCTTTGTCACTGTTTGTGTTTGGGAGATGAGGAGGCCGCAGCTGCTGCTCTCATCCTACCTGCGAGGGCCTTCCTGCGGTGATCTATGGTCTTGATGGGTGACTGGTAAGGGAGAGCATGAGTGAGTGAGAATGGAGCTGAGTTTGAAGGGATGGCATGAGTGGCAGTGTGAGGTTGAGTGTGGCTAATGTAATGTAAGTGTGGAGGGAGGAAGGGGTGGGTGGGTGGGTGTGTGTGGGTGGGTAGGAGGATTGATTACAATGGGGACGGGGAGAGGGGCTTCATTGAATCATTTGTCATCATGTCCTTTTGAGTATATGAAATAATAACTTGTTACAAAAAACACAGCTTTTTATGTTTGTGTTGATATAATATAGAAACTTTAATAGTAGCCTGCTGCTACGTGTTACTGTGCTGAGGCAACTCATGAGATGTTACTTCAGTTGTAAACTAAAACTTAAGAATGCAGGTTAGTGATATTATTGCATGTTATAATCCTTGCTTTCCAATCACTGCTTAATCTCTGGTCTTTCTCAAACACCTCTGGGGTCTTTTGCTTCTGATGAAGAGCGGCTGTTAGCGTTTCACACGTGTGTGCCTTGGTTACTGAAAGCTGCTGTTAACTTTTTTCACACCACAACCCAGATCATGCTGGATGATGTAATTTAATTAATTGGCCTTGTTGAGGTGGTTCTCATTTCTGATTGGTTTAACACTGGATCAATCTATAATTAGTCCTGCTTCTCTCTGGTTGTTTTATCCACTGAATTATTTTAAAGGGCAGTGAGGGTTTGTACACACCAGATCTCTCAACAGCAATGAGGTAATGGCAGAGTTAGTTAGTTATTAATCTCCAGGAGAACTCCACGCTCTTTGAACAAATGGCCTGTAATTGTTACTATTCATTTGAAGTGCTAGTGTAATGCAGCTTTAGTTTTGTTTTATTTGAAGCAGGACATTTCTAATATTGCATTGCAGTGCTAGCCTAGGTTATATGCTGAATCATATTATTGGGCATTAACCCATGATATCCTAACTAGAATGTGCTAAGTACTGAGCTGGGCTGGGCTGACATGCAGTATTCATAAGAGGGACAGTAATCCCTTTACTCCATATTAACAGTGAACATTGAAGTCCTAGATTGTGTCAACAGTTTGATTGCTTCAATACAACTGCAGGATGAGGACAGGATGTGTTTGGTTGATTGTTTGTGAATTGGAAAGTAAGATATGAAACACTTTCACCTCTTAACCATTCCACGTGTTATTGGTTAATTTTATGGAGTGTGGCTTCAATCTGTGTAATACTTCCACAAGAGTTAATACTTGAGAAGTTCTCAGTTGCAGAAATATTATGTAGTTTTACTCACTGGCCCCGCAACTCAAGTATATGGCTTAAACATTGAGCTTGTTAGAGGCAGAGTTTTGGTACTGTAATTTTAAAATTCACACAAATAATGTAAAATTGACCATGGTACTGTTATCATTTGTTCTGATTGTTCTTTTCCTGTCAGGTGAAACGATTCCTGGATGGAGCATGGAATTCTCCTGATTTTGTCAGACGTTACAGGGACATGTACCTGAAGTTGAAGAATGCCATGGAGGAACTGTTTGGGCAGCAGACAGCCTTTGTATTAGCACTGCGCAAGGGCTTCTCAGCAGCACTGCTTCAGCTGTCCCATCTTACTGCCATGCACGTAAGTGAAAATATGACCACCTCACCTTATTTAACAACTCCAAGTGCACCCTACCCACTTCACATTGCTTCAGGTCAGGTGATATCCAAATTCTGGGTATAAGCATAGAGTTGGTCCAGCACAGAAACAGACCCTTTGATCCAATTTGTCTATGCCGACCAGATATTCTGAATTAATCTAGTCCCATTTGCCAGCACTTGGCCCATATCCCTCCAAACCCTTCCTATTCATATGCCCATTTAGATGCCTTTTAAATGTTGTTACTTTAGCAGCCTCCACCACATCTACTGGCAGCTTGTTCTGTACATGCATCACCCTCTGAGAAAAAGTTGCCCCTTTGGTCCCTTTTAAATCTTTCCCCTCTCACCTTAAACCTATGCCCTCTAGTTTTGAACTCACTCACCCTGGGAAAGACCTTGGCTATTCATCTTATCCATGTCTGTCATGATTTTAGAAGTCTCTATAAGGTCATGCTTCAGCCTCCGATGCTCTAGGGAAAATAGCCCCAGCCTGTTGCTATAGCACAAGCCCTCCAATCCTGGCAACATCCTCGTAAGTCTTGCCTGAACCCTTTCAAGTTTCACAACATCCTTCCTATAGCAGAGAGACCGGAACTGCACGCAGTATTCCAAAAGTGGCAACTCTTATACTCAATGCATTAACCAATAAAGGCAAGCATACCAAACGCTGCCTTCACTATCCTATGTACCTGCGACTCCATTTTCAAGGAACTATGAACCTGCACTCCAAGATCTTTGTTCAGCAACTCTCCCCAGGACATTACCATTAAGTGTATAAGTCCTGAATCAAAGTACGTAAGAAATGGGAGTACGCCCCATTTCCCATGCCTTGATCCTGCTCTGTTCTCAAAAATTGTGGTAGATTTGATTGTGGCATTAACTCCACTTTTGAGCCAACCCTTGATTACCTTGTCACTGCTCTTTTGGATAAAGAATCTCCAGACAGAAGAAATTCCTCCTCATCTTCCCTTATTTTGAAACTGTGCCTTCTATATTTTTTACTGCAGGAACTTCTCTCAGCGTAATCCCCCTCAGAATCTTGTTCCACCTCATTATTGTAATGTCCAATGTATATAGGCATAACTTGCTCAATCTTTCTGCTTAAGACAGCCTGTTCACCTCATTAATCGTTGTGGTGAGCCTTTCTTAAACGAATTCCAAGGTAAATGTATCCTTAAGTAAGGCAAAAAGAAAACTCAACAGTATGTGTTGATTCACCAACACCCTGTGCAGTTGTAACAAAATTTTCTGACAATTGTATTCCATTTCTCTTGCAATAAAATCTAACAATCCATTAGCCATCCTAATCGGGCTGTACAGACCTGCTAACATTTTATTTCATTTATGAGGATGCCCAAGTCCCTCTGAACCACAGCATTGTTATCTCTCTCCATTTAAATAACATTGTGTTTCTATTCTTTCTGTTAAAGGATAGTCCCACATTGCTGATGGTACACTCCATCTGTCTGATTTTAACCTATTCACTTAACCTGTCTGTAGCCTTCTGCACTTTTTGTGTCCTGACTTGCTTTCCCATCTCTCCTTTTATTGTCAGCAAATTTGACTACAGTATACTTGGTCCCTTTATTCAGGACATTAGTATAGATTATGAATATTTGAGGCTTGATCCCTGTGCCAACAGCATTATGGATTTACCTGCAACTTTCCATCCCCTCTACCCTAAGGAGTGGTTCAAGAAAGCAACTAACCACCACTATCTCCAGGGCTATTAGGGATAGATACTAAATGATGGCCTAGCCAGTGACACCTGTGTCCTATGAACAAATTAAAAACAAAAGCACATCCCCAACGACAGTCATCTTGCAGGCATACTTGTGTAATGACTATCCTGTCATACTATTTAATTCTGTTTGTGCCCTTTGAGTCAGAATGCACTGTATCTTCCTGTCACGTTCTATTTTGCACTTTTGACTTGACCTTTCTTTAAAGGTAGGTTATGGCCTTATTGGTGTTATTGCTAGGCTATTAATCCGGAGACCCAGATAATATTCTTGGGACCTGTGTTCAAATCCTGCCATGGCAGTTGGTGGAATTTGATTCAATAAAAATCTGGAATTATGTCTAATGATGACTGTGAAACCATTGTCGATTGTTGGGGAAAAACCCTCTGGTTCGTTAATGTCCTTTAGGGAAGAAATTTGTCATCCTTACCTGGTCTGGCATTCACTACATGTGACTCCAGGCCCACAGCAATGGGGTTGACTCTCAACTGTTCTCTGGGCAGTTAAGAATGAGCAATGAATGCTAGTCTTGCCCACAATGCCCACATCCTGAATTTAAAAAAAAACTTTGAAAATTTCCTCTTGTGAACTTCTTTACAGCCCTATTCAGCCATATTTAATTTGAAATCTCCTGTATAGCTCTAGTCATTCCATTTAGCAGGGCACTGATTCCAGCATGGTTCAAAAGAAATGCATCCCAACAGAATTGCTGTCTTTTTCCAAGACACTGGTGCCAATACCTAATGAATTGCACCCTATTTCTCCTACACCAATCTTGAGACACATTCAATCCTCAGGTATTCCTTACTCTGCTCCAATTTCCTTGTGGCTCAGGCAGTAATGCAGAAATTATTACTTTCTTGGTTCTGCTTTTATAATATAGCCCTTCTGTGCTCAAGCACCCTTGGAAGAATCTGTTTCTTTGTTCAAGCTATATCATTGGTATTCATTGGACCATAAGAATGGGATTATTCCCTTCCACTCCAAGTTGTACTCCAGACAAGGAGATGCCTCTAAGCATATAACTATAAGAAATAAAAACAGAAGTAGGCTGTTCGGCCCTTTAAGCCTGCCCCAGTATTCAATAAGGCCATGACTGATCTGACATTCCTTCCTTCCACTTCCCTGCCCTTTCCCTATAACCCTTAATTTCTCTACTGATCAAGAATCCATCCATTTAACCTTAAGTATACACAGCTGTCTGTGGCAAGAAGTTCCAAAGACACTAAACTCTGAGAGAAGAAATTCCTTCTCATTTCAGCCTTAAATTGACGTCTCTTTATTCTGAGACTGTGCCCTATGGCCCTAGACTCTCCAAAGAGGGGAAGCATCCTCTCCACATTTACCATGTCATGCCCCTTAAGAGTCCTATATGTTTGAATGAGATTACCTCTCGTTCTTCTAAATTCCAATCAGCAAAATCCCGACCTGTTTAGCCTTTGTTCATAAGACGGTTTCTCCATACCAGGGATCATCCTCGTGAGCCTTCTCTGAACTGCCTCCTATGAAATTATATATTTCCTTCAATAAGGGACCAAAACTAATCCCAGTACCCCAGATGTGGTCTCACCATCACCTTGCACAGTTGCAGTAAGACTTCCCTACTCTTATATTCCAACCCCCTTGAAATAAGGGCCAATATTCAAGTAACTTTCCTGAGTACCTGTTGCTCCTGTATGCTAGCTTTGTGTTTTATCCTCATGTATCTCCGAATCCCTTGGTGTTGCAGGTTTCAGCAGTTTTTCTCCATATAAGTAATACTCCATTCTTTTGTTCTCCCTTCCAAATGACCCACTTTGCATTTTCCCACATTATACACAATTTGCCAACTTTTTGGCCAATTAACTCATCAATCCTTCTCTGCAACAACTGCAGCATTCATTTTCTCCCCTTATGTTGACAGGGTTAATGTGTTTAGCCCTAGCAACAGCTGTTGACAAGTTTTAAAAGAAAGGTTTCATTTATTCATTTATTGCCACATTGGATGTCATTTGTCATTTTTGAGTTATTTGGATGCAGTGTCAGGTGGGAAAGCTGATTTGAGGGTTTAAAACAGGGAGCTTTTGCAGAGCTGGCTATGGGTTTTGGAGGTGAGGTCCCTGGATTACATGTTCAAGACCTTTGGAGAGAAGATGGAAGTTGGAGATGGGGCATTATTTGCTAAGAACTGTGGAGTCCAGGTTTGATTATTGAGGGTACAATGTACATTTTTTTTTGAAAAAGAAAGAGGGAGACAAGTCCTGAAGAGAGGCCATCAATAATGTCAACGAACACAGGCACCAAGAGTGGATGTTGAGTTATCAGCAAGTTAGTGGCGGTAGATCTCATGGAAAGAGGATTGGGGACCTTTTGAGAGCGGTTGACTAGTGGGAGGGAGGCAGCTGATTGTCTCAAACTTGGTGACAAAAGTGTCCTTTGCGCATGTTGAAGTTGAGGATGGTGGAAGAGAGGTTTTAATGGAGCAGTATGCAGTAGAGAAAAGTAGACGGGCTTGCTTGTTGGGGTGTGAAAGAGTGTGATTTTGGGTTGATTGTTTTTACATTTCGAGATGATCTTGCAATAATGAGCAAAGCCTGAATGAAGATGGGCACAGTGAAGAAACGTGGACAAATCCAAAGGTACAGAAGCTATTGAGGTGCAATTGCTGGGGATGGAGGGGTAGAGGGATCTGTGATTGGGGAAAAAAAATAATGCCTTTGTGCAGCTGTGTAGCAAGCGGAAATTCCAATTTATAATTCCAAATATAGTTAAATTCTAAAATTTCAATGTTTCTGGAAATGGTATTTTACAAGGATGGAATCCTTGACAGTTGGCAAGCTTTTTGAGGAAGGAAATGGCACTTTTCAAGAGTAGGAGGGCGATGACAACAGTACATAAGGAAAGGGATCCATTCACAATGTCAGATATTGGGGCAAAGAGGTTAGGTGGTTGAGAATTCATTGAGAATAGTGGACAGGACAGTGTGCCAGAGAGATGATGGTCTGAAAGGAGCATCAGGAAAGATAGAGATTAAGGTAGGAAGGGCACTTGAGTGTGTTTTATAATTGAAATCCTTGTAGTAATGGAATGAGTCACATGTAACCCTGTCCTTCAGGTCAGTGAACGGTTTGCACAGTACATTGATCAACGTATCCAAGAAAGTGAAATGAGCACAAGCAATGTGGAAACACTAAACCAGCTGCAGCAGTTCCTGGAGCCGATGCTGTTCCTCTCTGGACTTGAGCTTGCTAACATGTTTGAACATTTCTACAGGTAAAGAGAATGTTTACAGAAATGGTGATAGTGGAAGATAATACCTTAGCTATTGGTTCAAGTTCCTAGCGGTTTGATAGATACCAATTGCACAGAGTTCCGATTGGAATGTGAGATAAATCAGCCACAAGCAGCAATACCTAAGTGGCAACCAATCTTGTGTTAAGTAGCAATGGCTAGCTCCAAAACGAGAGAGTCATCTGACGAAGGAGCAGCACTATGAAAGCTTGTGATTTCAAATAAACCTGTTGAACTGTAACCTGGTGTCGTGTGACTTTGGACTTTGGACTTTGTCCTCCACGTCAATGTTATGGAGAGATGGTTTCAAGTCCTACTAAAGCAGCTGGTGGTATTTGAATTCAGTTATTAAAATCTGGAATAAAAAATTATATTCAATTATATTTTTTAAAAAAATGCATTGAGTTCATTAATAAAATTTAAGGATTGAGGTCTGCCATTCTTAACGGGAGGTGATGGCCTAGTGGTATTAACGCTGGACTGTTAATCCAGAGAGTCAGATAACATTCTGGGAACCTGGGTTCGAATCCCACCACGGGAGATGGTGGAATTTGAATTCAATAAAAATATCTGGAAGTAAGAATCTAATCATGAATCCGTTGTCGATTGTCGGAAAAACCCACCTCGTCCACTAATCTCCTTTAGGGAAGGAAACTGCCATCCTTACCTTGAATGGCCTACATGTGACTCCAGACCCACAGCAATGTGGTTGACTCTGAACTGCCCTCTGGGCAATTGGGAATGAACAATAACTGCTGCCTGGCCAGTGACATCCTTATCCCATTATTGAATAAAGGAACTGGTCTGGCCGCCTTTTGACTTTAGACATGGCAGTGTGATTGACTCTTAACAATCCAGTTGGGTCAAAAAAATTAGGAATGAGCAGCAAATGCTGGCCTTGGCAGAGCTGCCCACCTCCCATGGAAAAATAAAGTCACCTCCCCACTCCACACGGGGAAAAATAAAAGATCCTGGGGCCCACAATTGATCAGGAGCTCACCTGGAGCACTGACTCAAATGCAATGATTGCCAGAGGAAGTTTGAGGTTAAATATTTTGTCTCAGGTCATGAATCAGGAGTGTGATGGAGTACTTTCCACTCGTTAGGTGTGTGCAGCTCCATTAACATTGAAGATGTTCCATACCCTCTAGTCAAAGTTCCCCACTTGATTGTTAAAAGACAATGAGAAATAGCAACAAAAATAAGCCATTGACCCATACAACCTGCTCCACCATTCGATAGAATTATAGCTTTAAGAAAGCAGCTCATCATCAGTTTACTCATCACTAGTTATAATCAGGAGCTAGCTGTGAATGGGAAATATCTGGAAATAAACTTCTATTCTTTTCTCTGAACTCTTCCTCATTGACAGATACTATCTGGCGGATCGCCTTCTGGGCCAGGGGAAAGTGTGGTTGGAGCGAGCTGTGATCGATCATATTGGGACCTGTTTTCCCAGTAGATACCCTCAGCAGATGCTGAAGAATCTGACTGCATCGGATGAGCTGCAACAGGAATTCCATCTTTACAGGTTGCAACAACTTGACAAGAAACTGGAGGATCTGGATGATGAAGTGAGTAGATAATGTCCACTTAGATTTAGCACAAAGGAAGGAGTTTCAGCACCTACAGTACCTTCACACAAATCTGTACGAGTTCAATATATTTAGTGAACTTGTGAATTTTTTCCTCCGGGAAATCTATGAACTAAGAGACTTCAGTTACTTGAAAAGATTCAACAGATTAGGGCCTCTTTCTATACCAAACAGCAGATCCAGCCCCCCTTTCATTACGAATTAGGTGGACAGAGTGGAGGTCCATAGAATAGTTCCACTTGTGGAGCAGCCAAAATTAAGATCAATAAAGTCAAGGTAATTACTCATAAATCCAACACAGAACTGAAATGTCTGAACTCAGTTTACAGTATGAATTTCTTCACCAGAAGTGAGGTTTCAGGCAAACAATTCCAGCCTTGGATGATCTGTGTGGAGTTTGCATGTTCTCCCCAGGTTTATGTGGGTTTCCTCCCACAATCCAAAGATGTGCAGCTTAAGTGGATTGGCCAAGCTAAGTATGGGGTTATGGCAATTTGGGGAGTGTGGGGGTTGGGGTGTCAAAGTCTGGGTGGCATGCTCTTCGGAGGGTCAGTGCACACTGGATGGGCCGAATGGCCTCTTTCCACACTGTTGGAATTCTATGATTCAAGCAGATATAATGTATTCAAAAGGAAATTAGACTCGTACTTCTCAGTCTTTTTTTTGTTGTATGACTTCATTAAAATGGTATAGTAATCACAAATCGCAATCTAAATTATAATGCTCATAAGCGTTGCCTATAATGTTTATCTTAATGTTTAAGATGACAGGTAATTACTTCTAGATATCTTGTTTTCTATGCTGTTCTTGCCTACTCCCCTCCTGCATGAGACAGCCAACCCACTAGTGGCTGCATTTCGCTCCTAGCTCCCACGGACATGAGAATAAAGGAATAGAAAGAATTGCTGGCAGGCTGAGATGAGGTGGATGGAATGGGAGGAGGTCTGTAAGGTATCAACACTAGCGCTGCATATTTTGTAATATCCCATTGTGTTGTTCCATGTCAAATTTTACTAAATAATGCTTCTGTGAAGTGCCTTATACTGTGTTAAAAATGATGAACAGCAATGACAATTTGTATTTGTACAAACCTGAGTTTGACAATGATCTTTATCTTGCACAGATGATGGAAGATCAGCCGCCTATAACAGAAGAAGAAACGGATTTGAAAGTTCTAGTGCTTTCCCCACGCTGTTGGTCCATATCTTTCCTCTGTTATCATGATAATCCGAGAGCATTCTTCCCATCTGCCCTCAGCAATTTCCTGGAGGAGTTCTCCGACTTCTACACCATTAGTTAGTATTTTAATCAAATTGAAAACTGTTGTCTTTTGTGCTTAGAACAAAGAAGAAAAAAATGAAAGTTCCAGTACAACAATTAAAGCCAAATGAACTGAAATCTGCTGCCCAGAGAGAGTATCACATTGTGGTCTAATATGAGAGTTACGCTGAAAATGCCTCAAAGGGAAACATTTGCAAGGCAGGGGCATGGAATTACTTTCAAGAGCCCTTCGGTTCGATATACCAGCTGGCCTCCTGTACTTTGATTCCAAATTGACTTTAGTTGCTTGGGCAATATATCAGGACTTTTCTCTCTGTGCTGACTAAGTCCCCAATTTCAAACAGTGTGCCAAATCTTAGAATGAAATCTGTTAGCTGCTCATCATCTTAAATGACCTTAGGTTTTAGCTTTTACAGTTTCTACAACCCCACTTTTGTTTGTAGACTGTGTTGTAAGTGAAGCAGTACCACAGAATGGGACAGGTTTGAATTGAAGACTCTGTGAATTTCTACACCTGTGTTATCAAAGGAGCTCTTGAGTGAAGGTGAGATGCTCCATGGTGTCCACACTTCCTGAAATTATATCAAGACAGTAATTAAATCCCTGTAGTATAATGAAAGCCTATTCACTGCTTTACTTTGGGATGCACCAAATAGGTGACCCAGTTATTGCATAAGTTTTGTTGGACTTGTGTTGCTTGAAGACGCACAGACGTCCTCTGTCCTTTTGAAACAGTACGACCTCCCTGTAACCCTGTGAGATGGCTTCAGAAGATGTGAACTGAAATTGAAATTTCAAAATCCTCGGGTCCTCCATTACAGCCCTGTTCCCAGGCTTCCCCTGTTTCTGCTTCCATTGCTTGCTCCTTCTGGCAGCTCTTTCAGCCTGCCCGCTTGGGGCATCCATCAGAGGATATATCCATTGAGAACTCGATTTGATACTCCTGCTGCTGCCTTTAATATCCATTCTTTTGTTTCCCAGTAAAAGCTGCTCTGTTGTTCTTTTACAAGAGCAAAGTATTAAAGAAAATATTGGAAATGTCCAGCATCTCTCTTAATGTCTGTAGAGAACCATGGTTAATGTTTTAGGTTAGTGACAATTTGTCAGGCATATGTTTTTAAGACTGATTGAGAAAGGGAGGCAAGAAGAAACAAGTTACATTTATGTGATACTTCTGGTGTAATAAAATGTTGTTAAATGCTTTTGAGGGAAGTTATACAATTAGACACCAAACTGCATAAGACAATGAGGGCAGATGGCTCAAAAGTAGAACAATACAGAAAAGTCAAAGCAAGAAAGAGGCTGGCTGAATAAACCAGCCACCCATTCTGATCCCACTTTCCAGTGCTTGATCTGTAGCCCTATGGGTTACTGTGCTTCTGGTGCAGATCCAGATTCCTTTTAAATGAGTTGAGGATTTCTGCCTCAACCACTATCAAAGCAGTGAATTCCAAATACCCATACTTTTCCTCTTGTTTCCTGTAATCCTTCTACCAATCACCTCAAATCTGCGCTCCCTGATAATTGACCCCTCTGCTGGGGAACTAGTCTTCCCTGTCCACTCTATGCAAACCCCTCATTATTGTACACACTTTGACTAAGTCACCCCTCAACCTCCTTTGTTACAAGGAAAACAGCCCTCGCCTATCCAATTGTTCCTCATTGCTAGGGCTTAAAATTGCAGCTATGTTCTTGTTTTTAAATCCCGTCCTAAAAGAAGAGAGGTTTTGGGAATGCAATTTGGTGTTTAGTGCCAAAGGCCCCTCAGAGTGATTTAAAAATTCAGGATGCTCAAGAGGCTAAGATTAGCTAACTCCGATATCTCTGGAGTGGGGAGCCTGGACATAATGCAGAGTGGGGAGAACATGAAGGGGCCACGAAAAGAGAATTTTCAAATTGAGAAATTGCTTGACTGGGAGTGAATTAATCTGCAAGCGTAGAGGCTGATGGTGAGTGAGCCTTATTGCAAGCTGAGTTCTGGATAATAAGGTTTACAGAGGGTTGCATGTGGGAAATGACCCAGGTGTGCATTGTAGTAAGACCATAAGACATAGGAGCAGAAATTAGGCCATTCGGCCCATCGAGTCTGCTCCGCCATTCAATCATGGCTGATAAGTTCCTCAGCCTCATTCTCCCGCTTTCTCCCCGTAACCCTTGATCCCCTTGATAATTAAGAACCTATCTATCTCCATCTTAAATGTACTCAATGACCTGGCCTCTACAGCCTTCTGTGGCAGTGAATTCCATAGATTCACCATTCTCTGGCTGAAGAAGTTTCTCCTTATCTCTGTTCTAAAAGGTCTTCCCTTTACTCTAAGGCTGTGCCCTCGGGTCCTAGTCTCTCCTACCAATGGAAGCATCTTCCCAACATCCACTTTGTCCAGGCCGTTCAGTATACTGAAAGTTTCAATTAGATCCCCCTTCGTCCTTCTAAACTCCAATGAGTATAGCCTGAGTCCTCATATGTTAAGCTTTCCATGCCTGGGACCATTCTCATGAACCTCCTCTGAACCTGCTCCAGGGCCAGTACATCCTCCCTGAGATAAGGGCCCCAAAACTGCACGCAATAATAGTAGTTAGTTTTAGAGGTAAGAAAGGCATAAATGAGGATTTCAGTAGTGGATGAGCTGAGGTAGCGGTGACGTGACTGAAGTGGAAATAGCTGATTGTAGTGATGGTGTGGCTATGTTGTCACAAACACCAATTTTGTCAGCAGCCTGGTTTAGTCCTCGGTTTGTTGCTAGGGAAGACTTCAAAGTGGGAGTAAAGATGATTGTTTTAGACTGCCAGTATTTAACTGGAGTAGATTTCCATTCATCCTGTACTGGTTCCATTTCTTGAAAACAGGCATGTTTTTGAAAGATGTTGCTGAGTGGTGGCTTGTCGATGAGAAATGAGAGGGGCTAGTGTCAAAGGAGCATTGGCCCTGTCGTCTCCCCATTGGAAGTACCAAATGTAATGGCACAGCAGTAGGAAAGACCAGCATTGCAGGTTATAGTCTGAATAAGTTTAGATCAACATGGGACTAGAAACATGTGGTCCCACCCAGGTGTCCAATAAAGAGCCACGAGATGAAGGTGACATGGCCAACCTTGTCAAGTCACGTCGATATGTTGACAAGGGTGAGATGGAATAGTTTACTTTTGTCACAATCACAAAAGATATCATTTGTGATTTTGGTAAGATCTGTTTTGACGATGAGAGAGGTTTTGAAATGTAATTAGAGGGATTCATAGAATTCAGGCGAGAGAGGGAGACAAATTTGGGAGACAATAACCTGTTAACTGACTTGGGAGTGGAAAGTGAGCTGGGATGTGTTGAGAATTTACTGTGGGGTTATCTTGTTTTTTTTTTTAAAGGAGGCAAGATGACGTTGGAAAGAGGGGATAGCACCTGAGGGAGAGAACAGTTTCTAATGTCAGTTATCATGGAGACCATGGTTAATAAAGTGGGAATAATCGTGAGGAAACAGAAGGAGAGCCTTATGGTCAGGATGAACTTGGAGAGGGCAAGAGGGGAGTTGGGGAAAACAAGTGAGTAATAATTCAAGGTTAAGGCGTTGGAGACCTTGGGAAGAAATTTGGCTGGTGGGCTAGGAGAAAATTAAGAAAACCGAGGCAGCTGACTTAATGGCACTTATTTGTGGAAGTGAAGGTGGAGGGGACGGTGAAGAGGAGTTTTAAGAAGATGACTTGCAGTGGAGAAAAGGTAGGTTGCATTCCAGGTTGATCATGGATAAGCAGAACCCTATGGTATTTTAAATAACCTAGATTTTGTGATAACCTAGATTTTGTGGTGGATGGCTGTGTCTGTTTTCTGCCATATCTTTTCGATTCTGGGCCTTGAGCGCAATGAAAATTGTGCTGGGGAGTGACCAAGATCTGAGAGTCTTTTAAAATTCATTCACGGGATGTGGGCGTTGCTGGCTAGGCCACCATTTATTGCCCATTCCTAATTGCCCAGAGGGCAGTTATGAGTTAATAACATTGCTGTGGGTCTGGAATCTCACACAAACCAGACTAGGTAAGGGCAGCAGTTTGCCTCCCTGAAGGACATCAGTGAACCAGACGGGCTTGGCAATGATTTCATGGTCAGTATTAGACTTTTTAATTCTGGATTTTTATTGAATTCATTTCACTATCTGCCTTGATGAGATTTGAACCCAGGTCCCCAGAACATTACCTGGGTCTCTGGATTAATGGTTTAGCGATAATACTATCAACTCCCCTGGTTCTGTCAGGAGTCTGTGCTCAATGGCGTTTTAAAGGATGAAGCAGGGATCTCGTTCAAATTTCGGAATACTGAGGGGTGTCTGGAAAGAGTGGACATGAGGATGATGTTCCTACTAGTAGGAGAGACTAGGACCCGAGTGAATGGCCTCAGTGAAGGGTGACCCGTTAGGATGAGATGAGATGAATCTTTTCAGCCAGAGGTGATGAATCTGCAGAACACTGCAGCAGAAGACAGAAAGCCAAGTCATTGAGTGTATTTAAGACAGAGACAGGTTCTTGATTAGTAAAGGGATCAAGGGTTACAAGGAGAAGGCAAGAGAATGTGGTTGAGAAACAATTCAACCATGATCGAATCGTGAGGAATACTTGATGGGCTAAGTGGCCTAATTCTGCTCCTATATCTTATGGCTTTATGGGCAAGGTCATTAAAGCTGTGATTAAGCAAATTATTAGGTTCTAAAATGTTGCAGCAAACGAAAAGCCACAAGTTATATGGGTGGGTTTTGGAAAGTATGGTTGTAAGTAAATTTAACATTTTTCTCAAGGGGGGGATTTGGAAGGCAGTGGGCTGGACAACAATAAAAGGAAGTGATCAGGGGTGTCCTTATCCATCATGCCATGGCGAAAGGAGCTTTGGAGAGATTGGGCACTGTGGTGAAGTGGAGCTGAGGAGAAATTGGGCATAAAATATTGAAGAAAGGAATAGGTGTATGCCTTTTGACTCCTCGAGCCTGCTCCACCATTCAATGTGATCATGGCTTGATAACCTAATCCCCTCCTTCCCCCTTGATTCCTTCAGCCACGTGAGCTAAATCCACCATTTCCTTGAAACCACAATGATTTGGCCTTCACCACTTTTTCTGTGGTAGTGAATTCCACAGCCTCTGGGTAAAGAACCTTCTCCTCATCTCAATCCTAAAAGCTTTACCCCTTAAACTTAACCTGTAACCCCTGATTCTGGACTCCCCTATCAGGAACATCCTTCTTGTATCTAACCTCTCTGTTTCTGTTAGAATTTTATATAAGCTAGTGATCAGACACCATGGAGAAGTATGTAGGTGGAAAAAGAGTCAAGACAGAGACAAGTTATTTGGGCACAAACAGGCTGAAGGGATGCATCTGCCAACACAGTCATACAGATCCTTCGGTCCAACCAGTCCATGCTGAACATAATCCCAAACTAAACTCGTCCCACCTGCCTATCCCTCCAAACCTTTCCTATTCATATATCCATCCAAATATCTTTTAAACATTGTAATTGTACCGGCATCCATCGCTTGCGGGGAGGCAATGGCCTAGTGGTATTATCACTGGACTGTTAATCCAGAGACCCAGATAACATCCTGGGAAGCTGGGTTTGAATCCCGCCATGGCAGATGATGGAATTTGAATTCAATAGATATCTGTAATTAACATACTAATGATAACTGTGAATCCATTGTCGATTGTCAGAAAAACCCAACTGGTTCACTAATGTCCTTCAGGGAAAGAAATCTGCATCCTCGCCTGGTCTGGCCTACATGTGACTCCAGACCCACAGCAATGTGGTTGGCTCTTAACTGCTGTCTGGGCAATTAAGGATGGGCAATAAATGCTACCTAGCCATTGATGGCCACATCCAGTGAATGAATAAAGAAAAAAAAACTTGATCAGGAAGTTCATTCCACACGTGAACTGCCCTTTGGTAAAAAAAAAAGTTGCCTCATGTCTTTTCAATCTCTCTCCTCTCACCCTAAAAATGTGTCCCCTAGTCTTGAAATTCCTCATCTTGGGGAAAAGGCAACTACCATCAATTGTATCTATACCTCTCATTATTTTATATACTTCTATCAGATCACCTCTCAACCTCCTACACTCCTAGCCTTTCCTTATAATTCAAACCTTCCACACCCAGCAACATCCTGGTAAATCTCTTCTGAACCCTTTACAGCTTGATAAAATCCTTCCTATAACTGGGCAACCAGAACTGGACACAATATTTCCAGAAGAAGCCTCACCAATTTCCTGTACAACCTCAACATGCCTTCCCAACTCCTATACTCAAAATACTGAGCAAGGAAGGCAAGCATGCAAAACACCTTTTTAACCATCCTGTCTATGTGTGACGGCAACTTTAAAGAATAATGTACCTGCACCCCTAGGTTACACTGTTCTACAACACTACCCAAGGCCCTACCATTAATTGTATAAGCCCTACCCTTTGTTGTACCAAAATGCAATACCTCACATTTATCCAGATTGAATTCCATCTGCCACTTTTCAGCCCATTGACCTGTTTGATATAGATCCCTTTGTAATCATAGAAAACCTTCATTGTCTACGATGTCATCTGCAAACGTACTAACCATGCCTTCTATATTCTCATCCAAATCATTTATATAAACGACAAGCAAAAGAGGACCCAAAACCGATCCCTATAGAACACCACTGGTCACAGGCCTCCAGTCCGAAAAGCTGTCTCCTGCCATTAAACCAATTGTGTATCCAGTTGGCAAGCTCACCTTGAATCCTATGTGACCTAAGTTTACTAGTTAGTCTACCATGTGGAATCTTGTTAAAAGCTTTACTAAAATCCAAATAAACAATGTCTATTGCTGTGCGGTCATGAATTTTTTTGGTAACTTCCTCAAAAAAATCAATCAAGTTTGTGAGACGCGACTTACCTCGCACAAAGCTATGCTGACTATCCTTGATCAATTTTTGCCCCTCTAAATGGCCATAAATTCTGTCTTGTATAATTACGTCCCACAACTTACCCACAGCCGAAGTCAGACTCAAGTCTGTAGTTCCCCGGTTTCTCCTTGCAACCTTTCTTAAAGGTACAACATTAGCCACCCTCCAGTCATCAGGCATCTCACCTGTAGTTATAGATGATGCAAATATTTCTGCAAGGGGTCTCATAATTTCTTCCTTTACTTCCCACAACATTCTGGTTGTGGATCATGGGAAGGAAGTAGAATGTGGAGGAAAGCAGTACAAAGGAGGACTATCTTGATTTAGTCAGTGGTGAGGTTCAAGATTCGAGAGAAGGAAGGATGAATTGTTTGGGAGTTGGAGTTCAAGCTGTGCCAGATGATGATGACGACAACAATGCTGTCAACAGGATAGATAACTATTAGAATTAGAGTTGAGATAACAGTGGAGCAACTTAAGAGGGAAACAGCTTGGACTAAGTGGGAGAGGAACATAGCAATTGAAATGTTCACTGTCATGCTGGCAGTTCTTAATGGAAAAGGTTAATGAACATCCAACAGAGATACCCGGATGGAAGGAGAAAGCTGAAAATCGGAATAAGTGCCCACTATGTTGCGGTAGGGATAGATTCTGTCCAATGAGCTGGAATTTAAAGCAATGGAAAAGATCTCGAGCTCATTTCATTGGGCTGAGGGTGAACAGGATGAAACTAAAGACTTGCTGAGGACTGTTCGCTCAGTCAGAAAGCATAACGTCAGAAGGGATCATGAAAACATGGCAAGGGACGAAATTGGAGGGAGGGATAAAATTTGGAGAAAGTGGTGGAGCGAGAAAGGATCTGGAGGGACATTTATATCCAAGTGTTTGAAGCCTATGGCCCTTTACATATGAAAGGAAGGGAAAAGAGCTTTTTGTTAAAGGATGAAATAATACCACGGACCATGGATTCAGAGCTACTGAAGAAAGATCAAAGGAGGATTGAAATTTGAGGTGGAATGGGAATGGCGTATATCTGTGCCAGATTTGGTCTCGGAAGAAAGATGTGGTTGTAAGTGCCCTCAGTTCTTATCTAGGGTCAGTACTGTTCTCCCTCTCAGATGCTGCTCGGCATGCTGAGTATTTTCTCCATTTTCAGTTGTTATTTCAATTTTTCCTTTCACTACTCTGTTCAGCATTACTTTTTCAGGTTCAAGAAGCTTTCCTCTGCCTGTAAGGATATTTGTGGAATTGAAAACAGTGTTTAAATAGCAGTGCTCTAGAATCTGTTATTGCAAAGTCTGGACTCTAATTTCTGTCCTTACACTCTCAGGTCAGAATGTTTACGGGCTCAGCAGCACAAAGCCTCGACGGTTACAGTGGACGTGGCTAGGACATGCTGTCATTGCCTTTGGATCGTTGACTTTGCGTGTGTCTACTCTGCAAATGTACATCCTGCTGCAGTTTAATGAACAGGAGGTAAACCAGAGCTGTCTATTTTAAAATTATTGTTTTATCCATCATTGTTGACTCTTAGTAATTCAGACATTTGTGTGCAACACCTATGTGTTCTGAATCTTAACCTGACTCATAATTGGCTACTTTATTTTTTGCGCTGATGTGACATTCTAACATTTTGAATAAATCCCATGGGTCATGTTACATATGCAGTATTGACTGTACCAAGGCTTTTGTAAAAATGATATAATTTTACTGTAAAGACCGACAATGTTTGCAGGTATTATTGGTCACTAGTTAAGAGTTTTGCATAAGATAATGTGATAATTACATGAAATTTTGTATTGAAAGACAAACTTTAACAATGCTGAGCTAGTTAGTTGTATAGACTAGCTATTGCAATTTTGAAGAGGTGCTAGAGCAAGCAGATCTCAGGGTTTATATACAGAAGTCTTAGAAGACAGTGAGGCAAGGGACTCAGACTTCCTTTTCATAAAAAAGGGATCCATGCCTTTCTCGACAGAGTTTAAAAACAGGTAAGGTATGCCTTTGGTGAAGCCTCAGCCGGACTATTGTCGAATTCTATGTACCAAATCTTTAGAAGGATGTCAACAACGAAACGGAAGACAGTTATGAAAATGGTATCTGGGTGAGGGACTTCTGATGTGTAGAGAGCCTAAAGAAGCTGGGGCTGTTTTACTTTGAGTGTGGGAGACGGCTAAGCTAGAGATTGAAAAGAAGTGTTGAAAATTAGAAGGGCTTTTGATAAGAGGGTGGTGAATCTGCAGAATACCACAAAAAGTCAGCAACTGGAGGGATAGGCTTGGGATCATTGGCAAAACATCATGATTGAGTTAATCATTATGATCTATAATGCATTATCTGAAAGCAATGCCAGCAATTGAATATTGACTTTCAAAGGGATCTTCTAGGATGGCAGAGAAAAAGCAAAGAAGTAAAAGAAACTGGGTATCTTTTTCAGGAAAATTGGCACAGGCACAATAAACTGAATTAACTGTTGAAAGATCCTAAGATTCAGGCGTTTTATACTTTTTTTTTGCTTTTTTTAATAAGGATATTCCTGTGGAGACCATCTTGAAATCGACAGGTTTGTCCCCAGTTTTGATTAGTCATGCACTGGAACCCCTGATAGGAGAAAATGACATCCTAGTGCAACCAGGCACTGACAAAAACAGACTCCAAGGTATGTACATTCTTCCCAACCCTGTTCATTCTTTAGGTATTAATCCGTCAACAATTTCTAGTATTGAAAAATGACGTTATTGTGTAAGAGGAGTGCATTATTCTCCCAACGTCCTTTTTCCTGTTTGACTATTAATTGCAGTTTTTGGAGCTGATGCTGCAGCCTCACCGGCACCTTGTGCATTTAACTATTGTTCATGTGAAGATCATCACTCCTCACGGTGAAACTAAATTGCAGACTGACCTGATTTGCAGTAGAATATTATAATATTTACGAGCAGGAATTGCAGGCTGTAAATAGGAATGGCTGAATTTAAACACAAATTTGGTTATGTGTTTCCCACTGCAAAATTGTAGAACTCCAAATACTGCCTCAGCTAAAATTGCCCAAATTGAGCATTGACCACAATAGGAATTCTCAGTTTTGAAGCTCAGCTCCATTACACATCATTTATTTGTGCAGCAGGCCAATGGAGGACTCTGCTTTTAGATGTAATGTATTGTCATTAAAAATAGCTGGAAGGCATTTTGAAAATTGGCTTTTAATGCTGAGCACTCCAGTGGAAGTGTTTGATTTTACACCTGTACAGTGTCAGGTGTAATGTGGAAAGGATTATTTACCCCATTGATGTTCTTACTCAGCTGCTGCATGTACCATGGATTTACGGTACATCAGTCTTCCAGAGGTTAACTTGCCTTCCTTTCTTGACCCACTTGTGTCCTTTGAGCATGGTTGGTCGCATCATCCTTCTCCTAATACCTCTTGGCTGTCATCCGGCTGAGTGGGACTATGCTCTCCTGGTTCCATTCTTAGCGAGTAAACTGTAACCAGCAAATTACTTGTAATGGCTTCTCTTCCTGCTCCTGCACCATGGTTGCAGATGTTCTGCAAGAATCTGTTCTTGATACCCTCCTTTTCTTCATCTGAATGTCACTATTTTCCCCCCGCCGCCCCAAGTGAGATCTGAAAGCAGTGTTAGTTTTCACATGTATGCTGCCAACACAGCTGTTCCACTATTTCTTAAATTGTCAGATATCCTTTGGATTACAAACGATTTTCTCCAGTTTAATGAGTTTTTTATTTATTTTTGTCACATGTACCTTAGTACCATGAAAAGTTTTGTTTTGCGAGCATGCAGGCAGATCATTACAAACAAGTACCTACAGTTCATAGGGTGCTTAGACAGAGTGAAACGTACAAGGTAAGGCTGCACACAAGGTTAATGAAAGTAAGGTCAACATTAGATTTGAAATTAGAGAGGTCCATTCAACAGGGAAGAAGCTGTTCTTGAACATCTTGGTAAGTGTGTTCAAGCTTCTGTATCTTTTGCCTGACTGAAAAAGTTGGGAGAGAGTATTACTGGAGTGGGAGGGGTCTTTGATGTTGGCAGCCTTTTCAAGACAATGAGAAGTGTAAATGGAGTCCATGGATAGAAGGCTGGCTTCCATGATACTGTGGGCTATGCACACAACTTTCTGTAGTTTCTTGTGGTCCTGGGCAGAGCAGTTGCCATACCAGGCCCATATGCACCCATATAGAATGCTTTCTATGGTACATCTATAAAAGTTGGTGAGTGCCCTTACGGACATACTGAATTTCCTAAGTCTCCTGAGGAAGAAGAGGCGTTGTTGTGCCTTCTTGACCATCATATCTATGTGGGAGGTCCAGGACAGATTGTCAGTTATCGTCACTCCAAGGAACCTGATGCTGATGACTCTCTCCACCTCGACTTTGTTGATGTAGACAGGGGTGAGTCCCCCTCCTTTCTTCCTGAAATCAATGATTAGTTCTTTTGTTTTGCCGACATTGAGAGAGAGGTTGTTACCACTGCAGCATAACACCAAGCACACTCTCTTTTTCCTCTTTACTGTCACCATTGTTTGATATCCAGCCTACAGCAGTGGTGTCGTCAGCGAACTTGTAGATGACACTCACAAAATTTGGTTACACAGTCAGGGAGTGCAGTAGGAGCCAGAGTAGGCATCTTTTGAAGGGCTCCAGTGTTGAGGATTATCATGGAAGAGGAGCTGTTGTCTATCTTCGTTGATTGTGGTATGTGGGCCAGGAAGCTGAGGATCCGGTTGCAGAGTGTGGAGCTGAGACGTAGGTCTCTGAGTTTTGAGATTAGTTTGGTTGCAATTGTAGTGTTGAAGGCAGAGATTTGGTCAATGAGTAGGAGCCTGACGTAGGTGTCCTTATTGTACAGCTATTCCAGGAATGAGTGCAGGGCTAAGGAAATGGTGTCTGCTGTGGACCTGTTTCGCCAGTAGGCAAATTGCGGGGGAATGTTGGAAGATAGAAACTGTTGTTTTCAGTCCCTGTTCTAAACTCCATTTGCTAACTGCCTACTGCCATTCTCTCCCTGCCAACAGTCTGTTATAAACCAGTCTAGTTGCAACCTTGGAGTCTAAACCCAAATCTTGACGTCATGCCTACAACCAAACTCACTCACTCAATCTCTCATATCCCCATGTCCCTGATCAGGTTGATTAGGAAATATCTACAACAGTGCTGATTCTCTTCTCACTGAACCTTGGCTCTCTCATCCTGTAGGTGAGTACCTCCTCCAGCCAGGAGTAATGATTTCCCTTAAGGAAGGTCAGAAAGACCCCCATCAGATGATGGTGTGTGAATCTGGTTGATGGCCTGAAAAGCCACCACTAACAGCATCTCTTTTATCACCTGTGCTTGTTCTGTGCTACCAAGTAACAATTTATGTAGAAATTACATAGAATAAACCTTGTCGAAACAGACCATCTGGCTCACCGAGTCAAATCTGAGGTTTGTGCTGCACTCAAACCTGCTCTCATCGGTCCCCATCTAAATATGCCATTGTAAAGAGCTGGATGATATTTCTGTTTACCCAGTCCCAGATGTTGGACAAACTCTTTTAATGATGAGGAGGGTTGAAGCGATAGAGACAGCAGCAGCGGTGAGGAGCAGCACGTAGATGAGAGTTAGGTGGTGGCCTAAGATCATGAGGTACATGAGTTTAAAAACCTGGGAGTGCTAAGTGTAGCTGTTGCAGGTTCGCTGGCTGTGACTGCATCGACAGTAATGCCACCAGACAAATATAGTCCTATCCAGCTGAAAAACAAAGTAGAGACATTGAACAAAAGAATTGTCGATCAACCTTCCACAGTCTCCGGATTTCCCAGAGCGCTTTTGTAGCCAATTACATACCCATGATTATAATGTGAAAATTCTGCCACTCAGTTTGTACTTCCACCTGAGGATTACAGACTATTACATCCTGTGGCACTCACCTTTTCTTGCTCTAGCTTTCAGATACCCCAAGTAATCCAGTCTCCTATGGGGATGTGTGTGTTGAATTTGATCATCCGCATAATTTTGCAGGTGCCTGCTTTCTACACCAACCATTATTGTCTCTTTTCTCCTATGGTGTTTAGTGTCTGATTTCTCTTAGTAAAATTAATTGTATAATTTGTCTGTACTAATCTATTTACATGAGGCATAAGAACTGTGAGAAAGCTGGTGTAGTGAAATCTGGACAGTTATATTGTCTGGACGTTCAACACCGCACTGTGTACCATGTTCACCTCAGAGACTGAGTACTCAGAGTTCAGGAGAGAGTTTATATGTGTGGTGAATCATTACCGCATTAAGGAGCTGAAAGTTTACGTTCTAGGCTGGAGTCTGTCCTTCATACAGTGTGTTTTGGATTTGTGTTATTTGCAATCTATTGTGCAGTACAAGGTGTTTTTAACATGCATCTTTCCACAGTATTGACAGTTTATACTTTGGACTTGTATGCACAAAGAAATGTGTTTATGCATTTTGTCTGATGTGAAATGTAGATTAAGAAATTGCTTCTGATGTATGTTCACACACACAGTCTTAAATTCAGCAATGTAGGTCTAAGTAAGGGTCTGGTGGGGTTAAATCACCACATGAAACTGCCAATAGGGGTGAAGTGAGCTGAATATGGCGAATCTCAGTCACTGTCAATGTGTGCACATTAGACACACAACCACCGTTAATTTTACTTAAGAACAGCAACTGCATAAAACATTTATGAAGGACGTGGAAAGGTGTCATAGTTGAGGAAAAGCATATTGTTAAGATATTTAGTGGGGAGGCAATGGCCTAGTGATATTATCGCTGGACCATTAATCCACAGACCTAGATAACATTCCGGGGACCTGCGTTTGAATCCCAGCACGACAGATAATGGGATTTGAATACAATAAAATATCTGGAATTAAGAGTCTAATGATGACAGTGAATCCATTGTCAGGGAAATACCCATCTGGTTCACTAATGTCCTTTAGGGAAGGAAGCTGCCAACTTTACCTGGCCTGGCCTACATATGACTCCAGACGCACAGCAATGTGGTTGACTCTGATCTGCTCTGTGGGCAATTAGGGATGGGCAATAAATGCTGCCTAGCAAGCAATGCCCTCATCCTGTAAACGAATATGGGGAAAAAAGGTAGAGTAATTCTGAGACAACAAGGTGCAGGGCTGGATGAACACAGCAGTCAAACAGCATCATAGGAGCAGAGAGGCTGACGTTTCGGGCCTAGACCCTTCATCAGAAACGGGGGAGGGGAAGGGGGTTCTGAAATAAATAGGGAGAGAGTGGGAGGTGGATAGAAGATGGATAGAGGAGAGGATAGGTGGAGAGTAA